GGAGGAGGTATTGGCTGAAATTTGAAAATTCGAATTTTCAAAAAAAAATCGAGGAGGTATTCACCGGAATTGAAAAATTTGAAATTTTTAAAAAAGTATCAGGGGAACATGAAAATCGAGGAGGTATTGGCTGAAATTTGAAAATTCGAAATTTCTAAAAAAAAAGTCGAGGAGGTTAAAATGAAGAAAAACATTTTTTGGTCATGTCAATTTTAATCGCGACAGAATTTCTAGACAACTTTATTACATGATATGAGGATACAGTCTACATTATGTAAATTAAGTAGGTATCAATATATCTTTAAATATACATAACATTTGGTAGAATTAAAAATTATTAAAAAAATCAAACTGAATCATCTATAATGATCGATGTTCTTCTTTTAAAAAAGAAATATCAAATAAAAATCATATCAATTAACATTATCTCTACATTCTATTAATTAATAAATTACGATATTACTTGATCAAATTGATATTTCATTTGTCCCTCGTTATTAGTCGTGATATGTAGAAACGACTGGCTCGTATAATTTCATGTGTCCTTTATGTTCAATTAGAAAAAAGCCTTATGTATCCTCGACGTCAAGATTGAATGCGACTCTCATGGATTAACTGATTGAAAATGACAATTAAAGAGTGATTGTGTCGATGTTACATATTATAATATCCAAGGAAAAATATAGTATCCACTGGTGTTTTCAGAGCTGCTTAATAAAGATTTTTATGGCTACAAAATGTTCATGTCTCTGCTCGGATATGATTTATGAGGGATAATACTCGTCAACTTTTTACGTCGAGGAAGCGCCAGTGGCAGTGAACAGAATGGGTATTAAAACGCAACGCATTCTTACGATCTATATCGAATACGTAATTTGATACATTGCTTTTCTTGCATGCATTGTTAGTATTTTTGTTTCACTTCTTTTCATTTATAATATTTGTAATCGTTACATTTTAGTATAGTTTATCTAGCAAGCATAACAATTATGATTTTTTCTTCATTTAATCAATAATTTTTCGTGATATGACAAGTCAATAGGTATCCATTAAAACATTTTCTCATCCTTCATCTCTCGATTAGTTTTGTTCTTTCGTTTTCACCGATACAGGGAATCTTAATTGCCAATTGATTATTTATCGTGTCAGCTATACAATGGCCAAATATCAAAAACTTATAAAATATTCAAAAAATCACCATTGTAAAAGATGGGTGGGATTCCCTGACCCTGCATTACTCTGAGAAGTTTATTTATTTATTTATTTATTTTTTTCAAGATTTTGTGTCTCTGATATGCGTTTCAGTCAGATTATCATTCTTGGTCATTTTATTATTTTGTCAATAACACTAAAGTTTTATCTAAACTCCTTACATTTTCATTTCAATTGCCATTGTCTCTGACTATTCGACTGAGTTCTCGGGATGAATTATTTGGTTAACAGGTCTCATTACAACTTAAACAGTAAACAGTATTGTTTTATATTCTTTTTATCGTGTTTTTTTTGGAACAACCTGTGGTATGTTATGTTCAAAGATATGCGTTTCGTACTGATTTTTTTTTTGGATTTATTTATTTAAAAGCGGGAGGTGCTCGCTGACCGTTAGTCTTTGGACTCTCCTCCGTCATCACTGTCACTAGTTCACCAACTACTTTTCCCAAGTCCCCTGAAAAGTCGTAAAAATTATTCTATTATTTAAGAAACACAAATTCTCTTGTCCAGTACGTAAATAAACCAAAGAAAATAATAAATAAATGGAAATGGAAAGGATTGATTTGATCGGGTATTCATAAAATAACAATAATTCATGGCGTTGCCATAATTTTCTCATAGGAAACAGTAGGTTGGTGGATCGAATGGTTTCAAATACTGATGGAATTGCTGTATTTGATGACTTTGTAATAACGGAGGCATGAATATTTCCCGTAATACAACAACCATCTCTGAATTCCCCCGAGTTATGGAGTCAATAAAACCCTCAAGAGCAGTAAACCTCACCTTTTACATCCATCCTGCAATAGGTTGAGCACAGAATAAAGAATGAAAAATTGTTAGTAACATGAATGGTTTATGCAGTTAATGACTTGATTGTTATAATCATGATGAAAAGACGAACCTGCCATATGCAAAAGATTGCCCACATTATGAGATGAGTTGTGGGAATGCGGTGGTGGTGGTGGTCTTTCTAAACTGCTAACGCGTCCCTCACCCGCGCCTCCTCCACCTGAACTCACCCATCAATTTATATTGTGATGAATAAACTATGACCATCAAGCATTATAAAATAGCCGAGTGTAAAGAGCCATCGATAAAATGTAATCCAAGCAGATAATCATATCGAATTTATGACAATAAGTAATGGAAATCAACATTAATCCCATGTATTCTTTAATTCTAGTTGCCAAATTGATTTTCGAGCATAAAATGATAATGATGAAATGTAAAATTGATAAATTAAGCAGAAGTATGGAACTCACTACCAAATATTTCCATTATGGTACATGCATATATAATTAGAGGGTCTGGCAAAATTATGAAATTTATACCTGAGTTGTCATGATAGTGGCCATTGACTTTAGCCGGTGAATCGGTGGCTAATTGCGAGGCTGTCACACTCCTCGTCTGAAGCGTGCCAGTCTTTGATGGAGAGGATGCGTTTGGCTGGAATAAAACCACCATTTAGTCACATCAATAATTATTCCGACAGCCAAGTCAATGTAACACTCGTTACACATTGAATTATTTTCATATCAGGATTAATTGGTATTTTAGCTTTACCCTTTTGGGTTATTGTTACTGAGTGAAATTTCTCCAGAAATTGTCATCTCATGATAAATTCACGAGCGGATGTGACGTTTGGTGAATGAAAAAATAAAAAAATAAAAATAAAATAAAATGAAATAATCCCACCTCTTCAAGGAGTTGCCTGAGTCGCTGGAGTTGCGCCTCTAGCTGACGATTATGATCTTCAAGAATCTGCATGCGTGCCTCTAGCCTCCCCTTGTGCTGTCGGAGTAATTTGGCCTCAGCAATCATATCACAGTCAGGCTGCCTGCCATGTCCATCCTCAGGGGTTGATCCAGGTGTCTGCTTGGAGCTGAGTCTCTCATACTCGGCCTGAAGCGTTGCATTCTCCTCCTCGAGCTCCCTGATCATCGCCTCGAGTTCCTCCCTCTGTTCAGCATCAATGGCAGCCATCACCTGGACGGGACTCCTGGGAGCATTGATATTATCACTGCCATTCAAACTGTGACAGTAATGAGCAATGAGCTGATGTTCGTCGTCGCTATCCGGTGTAGAATTACTCCGAGTCCTTGACAATTCAACCTCAGCGAGCCTCGATGCATACATTTCAAGTCGCGAATGCATATCCTGACTGAGTGTGCTATGCTGGGGTGATGGAGCTGGACTCTCCAGGGCATCCCCTTCGAGTACTGTCTGGACCGGTAAATAACCCACCCTAGGATGCTTTTTAAAGTACCGTTTCGATTTGAACTTATTCCTCAAAGCTCTGGTAAAGTCCCTAACATCTTCACCAGAAGTAGTGGCTGTACAGTACTCCTGCATTGGATGAGTAAGCTTGTGATTTTTTGCTTTTCTCCCCGAGAAGAAACAGCTCTGACACATGTCGAAGTTGAAGCACTTGAGGCACCTGTATCTGAAGCCAACAATAGGATACTCCTTGCAGATATTGCATTTAGCTTGATGTTTAGCAGTTTCAGCAGCAGCCAGTCTGTGCAGCACTGGAAGCCACACCATGCTCTGGGGCTCCTGCTGGAGCCAACTGAGAAAATGAACGGCTTCGATCTCGTTCTTATCCTTACCAGCCTTTTCGAAGCAAGAGCGAACACTTGGTTCGATGTTGGAGCCACCAAAGGCAGCGACTTCACCGAGTTGTCTGGGTACTTGAATGCAGTCGTGAAGGAGAAGACCAAGTTTACGCTGGTCAACAAGTCTGTTGGGGTCGGCTATCAATCGGAAGAGATATCTATACTTCTCCTCGAGATGACCCTTGCACAGTAAAACGAGACCAACTTTGAAGGAGAGAACACGTATCTGTCCTGTTCTCTGGCTGTCGTAAACATTGAGAAGCCAGTTTATAGCGAGATCGATGCACAAGGGGACAGATACCTGGATAGGATTATCAGCAGCTATGACTTCGTAGAGTGAAGTCAGTACTGTTATCATGTCGGGTATGTCGATTAATTTGTCATTTTGGGCGCGTAAACCGTGCGAGTCGAAGTGCTCGAGGGCAGTCGAGAGACTTAGCATGTCGAGGCAGAGTCTCTTCTGAACTGTTCGCAGTTTCATTGCTGTTCTGTATGCTGAGAAACGGACTTCGTTGAGGTCCGCTAGAGAGGCCATCAGATCGATCATCTTTGGATGATCCCAGTGGGTTGTCTCTAACTGATGATTTATGTAGTAAGGCACTTTGGCGGGCGTGAGGGCTCTCTCCCATGGTGGCTCGACGCTACCAGCGAGGAAAGCCTGACTACCTGGAGTGCTACCATCTTTACCGTATCCACTTAGTACTTTGTATCTATCGTCCACTCCTAACTGCAACACTTTCCATCTGGAAAGTTAATCCCAGTTAGCCAACATGGTTATTCAGCCTGTTCACTCGTTAAATAGTCGTGAGTTTGAAATTACCTTGTATTGAGATCCTCGAGTTTAGCTAATAGGGCATGAGATACTATGACACTACTCGAAGCAAACAAACTAGCTTGGTCATTGGCTTCCTCGATGTTTCTCTGAATGGGTCCCAATCTGTCACCAAACTTTTGCAATTGCTCCAACATCTCTCCCGCCTCTGATGCTTCAGCGGGACTCTGCCAGCCACTCTGAATTGCCTCAGCCCCGGCCATTCTCGATGAAAGCTCCTCCAGTGCCTTTTGAAAAACGCACATTTTCTGCAAAATCAAAATACGAGACATACCACTTAGAGAATATTTTACAGATGTCAATCTATGTGCGATGCAGTGCTTTTTATTTTTTTATTTTATCGTTTTTTCGGGAATTATGAATGAAATTTTAATGAATATTCGGGAATAGCCTTTGAGGAGGAGCTTTACCTCGTTATTGAGGGAAAAAATTTTGTTCCACTCGACAGATTGCGGTAGACGATGCTAATCTGCTAGGAAGGAAACGAAATTATCCGAGTGAAATACCGGGGAATATTCTCTAGTGGGCGGCCGTTGCTCCCTTTATACTGTCTTCTCAAACCGCACTACAAAGTACCTCTTGTCCAGCATAAATTCACAATTTCTGTTATTCACAGAGCAGGAAATCACTGACATTTTTTTATCTTCCAGGATTGTCGATTCAATGTCTTGTGTATGAGGAGACAGCTCTGGTTCCACATGATCATCCTTTTGGAACAACAATTTTGCTCAATCTTTTTGGTTTTTTATCCCCCCTCCAATCCTCCCTCTCTCACTCCGCTGAGTCTGACACAGTAATTTATAATGCCCTTTAATCGTACAATTAAAGTTAGCTCGTAGCATGTATCTGGAGGAGTGACTTCTCAACACGATTTCTTCTCAAAATTTCACCAAGTTAATTGTCTGGCGCCATTCGATATCGTGAAAGTCTTGCATTAAACTACGTCGTCTCCTCGACAATTAGATCCTTCGGAGTGCAATTTATCGGAACAAATTACTGGCTTGACAATTGAACCTTTCAATTCGAGGGGGGGGGTGCTTCGCCCTTTTTTTTTATCGGATTAAGACCACCGGGCGATCGAATGGGGAGATACCTCCGGGGGTCAATTAAAAGCTATTGTTTTCGTTAAGTGAAATGTCGATGGTTCGAGCTGTCTGACAGTTATGCTTGTTGCTGTAAAAACCAGTTTCATTGCATGATGCCTGGCATTTTTTTTTATCTCCCAATCGGTTTTTGTTGTTGAAGAGAAAAAGGACCCACCTCCCAGCGATAACGCGTGGAGAGAATTTTTAATGCCCCTTTTTGCCTGTTTCGGTTTTATTTCTTTTAGTGATATGGAACTGAGTCGAATGCAGAGTCGACAGGAAATGAGATCCATTTTGCACGGAGCCCAGTACTGAGTAGATTCATTCGCTTTTCTCAGATGGAGGAAATTCTCATGGCAACATGAAGTTATGACAATATTCATTGTTTTGAATTCAGTGATGATACTAAAAATCGATGTGAATCAATTCCCTTAATTTTCTACGACTATAAGTGTGCAATTACACTTGGCAATGAGTGACATTAATATAATTTGATTTTTAAAGGGTTTTATTAGAAATTTGAACAGCCATTTGCCAGCAGTCAGCACTACTGGCAAGTTTTAGAGATTCACACATAAAAAGTCTAAAAGATTTGAATTGAATGCCTGGGAAAAATTAGTTATCCTTCTGTTTTTATGATTACATAGCCATAAAAACTGAATTATGCTGTTCTCGTTATTGTAATAAAATAATGGAGCGTTAAATCTCGAAATGCGCTTATGTCGCTCATTCTTTACCGGGTGTTTTTGATGACAATAGCCGCGCGTGGATTGAATGCTTTGATGCATAAAAACTATCACAAAGCCCCTCTAATAAAAATGCATTGTGCCAACTGTTTTGCCACGAGTGAATCTCAAAATGAAAAAAAATATGAAATCTATGTTTCTAGGATTGTGATTGCATGTCCAAACACTCAACTCGAGAATTTTTTTTCTCCAGCTCGAAGTCACTAAGGACCATACGCCCTATTGTTTTTTCCTGCGGTTGTTCTATTCAGGACCTACAGTGTCCAGGAGACCTGCGCGCGCAGCTCGCCATATCCGGTAGTGAATAAAAAAATGCAACTAAAATCGCGTATAAAAATGGAATTAAATAATCCCATAAACACACTCCATAAATTTTCCAACAAAAAAAAAAGACATAAAATCCCACCCGATTGGCGGGGCAGGCCATCAATTCTTTAACAAAAAAAAAATCCATTCGCAAACATTTGCATTTGTAAAAAGGAAAAACAAGAGGAAATGTATGTGACATTTGTCTGGGATAAAAGAAGGGAGCCTATCTGCTCTCAGGTTGTCGTCGAGAATTAGATTAGACGACGGAGAAACGGCGAGTGCAATTTTCACGATAGCTATCGGTGGAGAGGTCGGTTTATTCCTCTTACAGACGAAAGGAAATAGAAAGGTTGAAAAGGGGGGCTAAAGAGAGAGATGACGTTGAAGTCGTTGGGTACGAAGAAAAAACATAAAAAATTGGACAAGATGAAGAAGGGTTGAGACGGATATCACGGGTGCTAAGCAATGAGACTGAGTGTGTAAGTGTTATGTGACGATATGCATAGTGATCCAATTGTTTAGTGAAGATGCGGGTACAAGCTGAATTGCACAATAATAATTATCAATGGGTCGTTAACAGTCGAGCTATCCTGACAAATTGTCGACGCATGGAGAATTGTTAAATATTAATAACTGTGTCGATGCTGGTTGGATTATTATTTCATTGAACAGGTATTTCTCACTGAATTGAATTAATTCGATGCTCACTGCAGATAAATATTGGTGGATATTTTTATTTTTTTATTTTTCCAACTAAAACCGGTGAATCTGAATAACTTAACGGCATTATAACCTAAGTTTCGCTGTTGCAATGAGATTATGACGCGGAGTAATTCGAGTACAGTGGATTTTTAGCATGATACGCATCTTGAATGGTCGGAAAATTTGGGTCACTCTGGAACACATGTGTCTAAACAACATGACAAGATAGAATTGCAGAGAATCTCGATAAAAAACAGACAGTGCACGCAACACCAACTGTCAACGTGACGGTCATGAATCCTATCACTACGAGATTTCTCACTGCTCAGACCACCAGGCATTTAACCCTTTAATATCTCTCATGTCATTTTCAACAGTCACCGTATTATCTTCATTTACGCAAGTATTCTGGCGGAATCCGTTTGGTTAGCAATTATCTGGCGGTTATTATTGATTATTGCAAACTGGATGAGACGAGTTTGGCTTGAGAAGCCTTATGTAAGACAAGTTGAAAGGTTGTCAGAAATTTGAGATGGGACTCCAAGGGTGTGGGAAATATGAAAAAAAATATTCGATCCGCGCAAGTTTTTTTTTTCTTTTTTTTTGTTTTGAAATGCAAAGAACGACTTGTTTTATTGTGATGAATATTGGGAATTTTGAAGAAAAATGAGGGGAACACGATTTTTACTTACATTAGGAATAAAAAAAAAAGTGGAAAACAATTGTCGGTGATTCTCCGCTGTTCACCCCAATTATTCCTCCAAGTTTTGATAAAGAGTTTCCTCGTGCTAAAGAAAGTCGAAAAATGAAAAGGAATCAATGCCAACAGCTGCATATAGAGCTGAATAATCTCTACACCTTGATGACACCGAGGTGGAGTAATTAGCGTGTCAGACACCCACCCCCTTGGATTTTCCATTTGCTCAGGACTTAATTTCCGTTTTTTTTCTTTTTAAATCCGGTACATTCATCTGCTGGCGACAGTATTATAACCACGTACAGGGATAACCAGGGGATCTGAAAACGGAGCAGTACTCTGCTTGCTCTCAAATCCGTAATTAACTCCCGCAATTAGACCCTCGAGATTTCTTGAAATCATTAATCCATTTTCGGTGAGAAAGTCTAATTAAATTTATCGTGGGTGTAGGGCTTTCCAGTTAGAGCCATATTGAATGTTGCATTTTCATTGTAAACATCAATATCCGAGTGTTGTGAGAGAAATGAGTTAACTGGGTTGTTAGCCATTAATAATTCTCGCTCGAATTGCATTGACGGTTTTGGTGAATAAAAAACGGTAAAATTCACTAAGCGCATTCCACCACTCATGTTCCTCCCTGAGTGAGCAATGAGGAACCCTCACGATTTATCATCGTTATGAGATTTCTGGGAAACTCGCCAGGACTTACGCCTTCTCGGCATGAGTAAGACGAATTGGTTCGCGTCAACGGGGTGTCTATTTACCTCCAAATGGATTAATTAATTTTCAAGGATAATGAAAAATTCAACGAGCTTCATTCAATCAACAAAAGGAGTGAAAAATAGATGAATCAATTTCTCTCCAAGGCATGAATAATTGATAAAATAAATATGATTGCGGTTGTGGGCTTTCTGCGGTGTTTTTGAAATAGTGTAGAATGTGGAAGGAGCGGGAGTCATTTGTGATTATTACAATTGTCCCATGGACAACTACAGACGTTAAATTACATTCCGGGATGGCGCCCGTTAGGTGAATAGAAGGAGAATGCGAGTGGGGAATCTGTTCTTGGGGCGTTGTTGTAACATGGTGCATACCACTGTAGGCACTGGTACCTTCCACTGTCTCTACGTGGCTACCGTCTCATGCATACAAAACATACTCAAATCCCTCCGACACTGGGCGTGTGGACCACTCGCTACAGTTAACACTGTACGCCCAGTCATTACACAAAATAGGGATAGAGCCAACAAGGGGTGTAACCATAGTTGAAACACTTTTCTCTTCGTCATCCGCAAAACGGTTACAACTACTACATTTCCGGGGTGGGGAGGGACCCTTTCACATCCAAATCTCAGGCTCAATCGGTCAATTCCCCGAGAGTACAATTTTCACACACGACAAATCTACCTCACTTCCCTCTTTATCCCCCTTAACACCCTTTGGACTGGCTCGTTTCACCACCATTCAATTCATACGAGCCAAACCATTGCTACCCATTTTACTTTTTAACGTTCTCTCTCTTTCTCCTCTTGCCCACTTTCCAACGGCATTTTTCGGGGATGACTAAGTGAATCATGGATTCACTCCGATGCTCAATCTAAATTTACCGCCTACTTTTTCGCGTCGTGCAAAATTCTTCAATGCACTGGCAAAGCATTAATGGCAAAGGTGTCTTCATTATTTTTTCATACTTTTCCGCCCAATTATAATTAGCGCTATTCAGCGGGCGGCTTTCATTGGATTCATACCTGTTCATTTGATCAATACCCTCCAATTATAAACTCAGTGCGTACTTTCGAGTTTTCTCAATTTCCTTAATGACGAGTTGGGTTTTTAATTTCAATCGTATATTGATTTATATTAATATAAACTTGATTGAATGATTGACCAACCTCGTGTGTGAAAATACCAGCTGGGGTTGTCCCCAGATATGATTAAACAAATGGAAAATGGGAAAATACCTCCTCCTGCTCAAAAGAAGATATGACTTCATAGTAGAACTGCTCGGCCATTGACAGATCAATTTTCAACGACATCCTGTCCCCAGGCTCGCCATTAATATCCTCATCCCCGTAGTCCTTGATCGTAACACTCTTCCCCGATATCACTTCGACACTTGAATTATTTAGCATCTCCATTTTCCAATTTATTAAATAATCCCCGTAATAATCATAAATCACTCAACATCACAGACATTAATTTTTGGTTGAACGTTGCATTGGTTTAGTTGAATACTAATAAATAGAAAAACATGGTGACAAAAAAATCAGAACGAAAGATAAAAATTGAAATTGGTTGGTGAATAAAATATTATTTTCCACGTCTGCATTACAGCTGATACGTGAACCCTCTTCTCTCCTCGATGTATACCAGGTTTTGTACATGGTATCATGTATCGTTCGATTATGGGAGGACATATAATATTCAATAGGATAGAAAAATCCACGAGGGTCGGGCCGGGCTTCACCATGGGACACAAATACGGTTGTATTCACGTTGACAACCGGCACTGTACTGAACTGCTGAAAGGCCTCTGCGGGACTTACACCAAAGAGAGCCTCTCCCAGTCAGTTCAACACACGTTCAATGTGTGTATATAAATGACCAAGAGAGTTATGTAGATATGTGGAAGCGTTGGAGCTGGAGTTGGAGTTGTCATCCTACGCCAGACACCCAGTGCGTTGGATAAGCCCTTTCTTCGGCTTCTTACCTCAACTAAAAATCACTTTTCCCTGATAACATTTACTTCAAGTTGCACACGCGCCAGTTGAGAGGATGATGATGAGAAAAAAAGAGAAATGGCTGATTTTTTTTTAGTGGGGAATTGAAGAGGACTTGTGGTGAGTCATGATGATTGAAATGTGAGTGAGAAGTGCGGAGGAAAGTCGTGATTACGGACCTTCTCAGGCGGACGCTCGAATTAATGCTAATGCATGAGAGCTCGGGATTATACGAGTTGTTCTTGAATAGCTGACGAGGCTGAATATAGGTTTAGGTCGGTCCCTTGGCAGTTTAGTGGACGTTACAGCGGACCATCCGATCCGTTACATGGGTTCCAAGTTCGATAATTGATTTTCGGGTTGAGAACTGTTCTTGCGTTTTAGGTTCTACCGAATAGATACCGTAACTCGGGGTTTATGGCTTGTCATAAGAATCAAAGGACCAACAAGGAACTTCAATTCAATCCGGAATATTGATTTCTGATGAAACAGAAATTATTTTTGGTCATTGAACATGAACATTCGATGGGAGTCAGCTCCAAATCGTTTTAGTCCAAATGGATTGTTAAAAGTTTTCAGCTGAAATCTTGTACTTGTTGAGAATTTGAGAAATTTCAAGACCGAGAGTTATTCTCAACCGTTCATTATTGTTGGCGTATATTTTGAAAATTTATTTCTACTCGAATTAATGAAATCCGTATAGGATAATGTCGCTGAACCGCTTGCGGAACATTACAGAAGTCAATGCGAACAGTTACATGAGTTTCGAGTTGGATAATTGATTTTCAAGTTGAAGGCAGTTCTGGTGTTTTAGGTTTCACTGGAGAGGATAGATCTCGTTACTTGGGCTAAATGCGTTAGGATAAATACATCAGGAGAATTTAGGATGTGCGGGAGGCGATGGAACAACATTTTTCAGTGGACGATATCGGTTTTTCATGTGGCAAATATTTTGTTCGGTTGAAAAATTGAAAGAAAATGACGTTTGGAGTAGGATGGCCTCGAAGGTTTGGCAACTGGCCTACATATTGATTTCTTCTCGTCCTACGAGTGAATATTTTATGTTCTTCAATTGGTGGATATCTGATTTCTCAATCTCTGGGGACATATGTTCAATCCAATAATTACCGAGTTTTCGTATGAAACATAAACATCCCGAGGGAAGTCGATAATCGAGTTACCCTGGTATAATGAAGGACAGATCACCCCCGACATCCGGACGAATTTTATCCCGGGGATTTGTCAGCGAAACGGTGGTAAGCCGCTGTGAGAGGCTTTACACCCGGCCCCGTCAGCTCATCAATACACACATGCGGATACATATATGTATCCATTTTTTTTTCGCGTTTTCCCCTGTTAAAAATACGCACATCCGCGCCTAATGCCAAATTTTTTAGCAGTTTTGAATAATGTCTGAATTAAGAGTAAGGATAGAGGTACTTTATGCATGCCAAATCCTTGAACCCTGGAAAAGCTAAGGACTAGGGAAAATAACTGGAGTTCGGATTTTTCATGTCTTCCAGACTTGCACTCGGACAGTCTGGTCTTTGTCTCTCCTCGTATTCTCCGGACACGAGAGTAGGGTACGGTGACCGGACTGATCTTCATCTCACACAAGTGTCGACCCGAAATAACTCCAGTGAAACTCAAATAAAAAAAAAAAATCTAGTTGCCGTGTCTCGTTCATATTTTCCCATTCGGTGCTCTCGCTTCGTGGCCTTTGGTGTTTGAATTTTTTTTTTTAACCATTTTTATTAACCCATTTCCCCGAAATTCAGAGACATTCGCACAGAGCAGATGAATGAGGTGATTGATGACTTCTGCCTCCTCTCATTTACACCATTTTTTTTTGCGTTCCCCTCTGAATTGGTCGAAGCACTCGAGCGAATTTGACACATGAACTGCCAATGGATCGTTTTATTTGGACCTATATCCATCGTGAATATTTACACCTCAAAGAATTTTAAACGCGAATATTTTTCAGCACACCAAGCGTTTTTTTTTTTTCATTCTCCCCCATGATTGTTTAGCATTGTGTAGGCTTGAGAAACATGGATTGAGTAATGTGCGACGGGATGTACCTCACGAATGTGTCCCGTCATGCGTTACGAAATACAGACGGTAAATGGGGTTATAGGATTCAGTCATTGAACCATACACAACTGGTATAAACGCACTGTGTAAAGGACTACATTCGAAAAGAAAGAGAAAAAAAAAAGTAGTCATTATTAAAAATCAGCGGGTGGGACGTAGTGATTGCTCTACATAAGCCTCATCAAACAGGTTTAATGATCCCGTCGGGTATACCAAAGTGAAAATAGAGCCAATCAGGAAGCTAAGCCATGAAAAATAGCAGACCGCAATTCGATCATGCACATAGTTTCCAAGTGAAAACTATCATCATCAAAATCTGCAAATGTACAGTACAGGTCGACAGCAACTTGAATCTTGAATATATCGTGAAAATAATTTTTGAGAATGAATATGCCGGGTGAAACCGCAAACCCCTAGTCTTTTATAACCGCGGGATTCTTAAAGGTACGTGAAAATGCACACGAGGGAAAAGAGAACAAATAAAACGGGAATTCAACCACTGAACTGAACCGCTACACGAGGTCAAGACTCGAGCACTATGTAAACCAGCAATCCTGTCAAATTCCACTGCTGCACATAAATTCATCACCGTCTCCAAGTACCGAACACGCGTTATCATTTGCCGCGAATTTAAATCATTGAAATTATTGAAATGACACTGTCATGATGGCACGCGTTTCGGGGAGACAATTTGTATTTTATCCTTGAAAAAAAAAAAATTCCCTCTGCTAACGTGAATGCCATACGTGATGTTTTAGCAGTGGGGACAGGGGGCCCCCGGCTTTGTTGGAATCCGAAAGGGACACCACATGCTGGCCCATAATCTCGGTTAATCCCGCTCAAGTTCGGCTTTACTTCGGCAAATATGAGAGGCCGATAATCTAGAGAACTCCGGGCTAGACAACTACATCAGCACCAGCCAATCCTTCTCTACCCATTGCTGCTAATTTTCCCGCAAGCTCGCTATTTTATTTGAATTAAAAATTTTTTCATTGGATGACGTGGGGATTAATTCACGAGGTTGAAATGAATTTGACCGAGGGAGCTTAGTTGTTGCTTTTAGAATGAGCTTTGGGGGATTACGTCAGATCTTGAGGTGGACCCGCAAATGGTCACTCAATCCCTCTGATTGAGAATATCCAAGCCAGGATGATGGAGAAATTGTTGGCTGTGTGGATTTATTCGTGGATTTTTTTTTATGATATGCTGAGTAAACTCTCGAGAGTGGATTCAAGGTGTGGGATACGAGGGTTATTTGGGTGTATTGCAATCGTATTAGCGTTGACGTGGGTTACATGTCGGGAAGAATTAATATGGGTTCGGGTTCATCTATTAAACTGTTGCGGTAGTGTTTTGGGTAATTAGTTGGACAGCTGGAGCTAATGGTGGTGCCAATCAAGTTGGAGACGGTTGGTGGAATGAGGTGTTCACTAATTAGGATGTGGAGATTGATTAGTTTTGATGGGGGAATTTTTATAGTGTTAATTTTTTGATCTTATAAGCTGTTGAAAATGTTTTCACTGTAATTGTCGGTACGAGGTACACAACATACTTAATGATCTCAATAGTTTACTCAGTGGTACACCTGAGAAAGTTGCAAGGGCGTTTGTAATTACGGAGTCGTCGATAATTAAAGGCGTGACAAGTGCGCGGAACATTTTGAAGTTTAATTGTGTCCCATTTGCCGAGACATTATGCACACCAAAAGTTTTCAGATCATCCGCCTATAGAGCCACAGGGACGAATTCCAATTAAATTTGTAATTCTCACAATCCAGTAGTAATTTACTTTCTATTCTCTAATTCGAAATTCGGGTTACGAGGATAATCATCATAAGTCGCGGAAAGAAAGAGGAAGGAGTTCTCACTCGACTGAATGAGTTGAAAAATGAAATAGTGAATTAAGAAGGGGATAATGAGTCAGTGGTAGGTAAAAGCAGATAGTTCTCTTTTTGCGGTAACGCGATTTCCATTTTAATTAAGGTGAAATCCCCCTGGCATGGGAATCAAGAAGACTTCAAGTATAATATAAGGGACAACGTAATGAAGAATCGCGTTAATCGGCTAAGGAACCCCTGTGGGGTGGGCTCTCTATATTATAACCATTGCCCATCAAAGCGCTCGAGATATGAATTTTTTCAAGTACATCTCATTGCTCTCATCATATAAATTCTATGGTAATTCAAATACTTCAGTACTGGGACAACTGTTATAACTTCATTTGACGATGGATTATTCAAATATTACTGGGTTTTCGGGGGAAATTCAGAATTTATTTCTAATGATCTTTTATAAAAGGAGTAAAAATGTAATTTTCTCTCCTAATTGCACCGTTCTTTTCACGATAAAATCGCTTTCATGGAATTTCATCAGGACAAAAAGAAATGACCTCAGCTGTTGCTATATTCAACTTGCATTATCACCATGAAAACACCGATAACGATTTCCCATATTGACTAGTGGATTGGCACGATTGGAGCGTACAGTGCTCGTTATCGCATTCAAACGACATTTTTATTTGCACAATAAAGCGAATGAATAAGCGTGTCAGAAAGAAAATATTTTCTCACTTCTACGTGGCGTTGAAACAAAGTGCATTTGATTTCCGTACAAGATACGTGACAGAAATCCCCTCATATTAAAAGAGCAATGGTAAAATATCAGAATGCGGATATTAAAACTCATTTTCATGAGTGTAAATTCAGATTAAATTTGCAATTGGAATGTAACTCAGAGACAAAGTCCGTACCACTGTGCATTGCTAAATCGGAGCGAGAGAAGATGCAATCGTCAATCTGTAGAGTGGAGGGCAAAGGAGACAAGGGGTTTGAGTAATACGAGTAAGACCGGTGCATCAAAATCCTCGACCGAACAATTCTCTGCACGTCGCGACATTAACCCCGACTGCATTGTGATAACCTCACCCTCGCAACATATTAAGGTCGAGAGGGAAAGGGACGTGGAAAAAAATTATTTCCACTGGAAGAATAATCGCAAAATTTATAATTCCGCATCGCGCTCCAGCATCAGCCCCACAATTTTCTCGTAAATAGCGCAACATATACTTTAATCATTCCGCATATGTTGCATCGATTGCGCATCACTTCGAAGTCTAAATTAAGAGCGCGCCATAATTATAAAAATTATGATTGAACATTTCCAAGTTGAATGAGTTCTGATCCAATGAGGAATAAGCGTGACAAATTTTCGAGATATCGATAATCTCCATATTTGTCTTGTTTATAATAGAATTTTATAATAGGAATAATAGAATCGTGACGTGCATTTCAACGATAAAAAAAAATCACTCCTCTCGCCATTCATCGGCTCACGCTATTCCTCTACTATTTTTCTTCGCGCTGCAAAATTTAGAATCCATTAGAACAAACGACTTGCTCACTCTTTCAGTTGAGTTAACAAACGTATTATTATTGGATCGATGGAGAGATATGAGATTGTTCCATTTGCGAAAGAGAAATAAACGCGTAGTTGTATCGCGGGGGTTTTCGGCCTTATTAACCGATTAAGTTTAGAAATATCCAAGTGTACTTACTGCTGTAGTATCGTCGAGTTTTCGTTTCCATGCATCACTACGTTCGATCAGGGAGTTCCACTGCTCTGAGAGTTTGTTCACCTCACGTCGAATACTTCGGGTTAATTCGTGAGCCTGCTCCTCGGCACTTCTGTAGCCCCTTGAGTCACCGTCAAGTTCTCGACCTATTCCAACAAGCGAAAGGAGAGAATGAGAATTAAAAAAAAAAAGAAGGGTTAAAAAAAACAAGAAAATCGAAGAAGCTGAGCTCACTCCTCTCTGAATATTTCCATGGATTTGGATAAATGGGTCACGAATTACTGGAAAATCAGTAATTCAGAAAAAGTTTCTCCTGCTTCCCGCTGACAGTTTGGCTGGTGTTTTCGCCATTGTTTTATTGGGGAAGGGGTGAGTTTTGATAAAAATGATAGAGCTGGCTCCAATAAAGGATAAAGTATATAGGTGGAATGGTTGGAAAGCTTCAAATAGCCTGCACTCTGCCTCGCTATGATCATAAATCAACATAACGCGGAGCAGATATCGTTGGTGGTAGCCCTGGTGCAGGTGGAGTGGAGGGGTGGCTGAATCGCAATTCGCTATCAGAGCTAAACATGCGCGTAAAAACTTAACGGATGATACGATACGTGATTCATAGGACAATTAAATATTCTACGATTGGAAATAGCCTGGACCCGCTCCATTACTCCATTACTCATTCATAAACACAATGATTTTCGAATTTTTATTGAATCATTTACACCCCCAGTGGATGTCCTTCTACATCGATAATACCCCTTGAATCACTATTTACGGTTGAATGAAACATCTCTTGTTCATTATCGTAGTGCATTATTAAATTCACTACTCATTAAAAATTCCGCGTAATTCAGTACTGAATATTCATTTTGTAATTAAAAGTCAAGTTGTGGAATCCTTGTCCCCCTGAATTTCCAGTGAAACTTGAAACTTGATGAGCTTTATCCTCAAAACCCACGTAAATAATCCGATTTTCAAAAATCATGATTAAATTGTCGACCAGATAAATAAATAAACTTTGTAATTAAAACCGTAATGTGCTGGCGTTAAAAGCAAATGAGCAATCTTGGAACAATTATGGTAATGAGGAATTAGCATGAAGGCTGTTAGAGATATTGTCTCACACACTTAATTTAATCTCTCGGAATGAATGAATTCAGAAAGCCCTTGGGATTGAGAATCTGAGTCTATTTTCGCTGGGGAATTATACGGAGAATTGAGTCAGCTTGCAGTAAGTAAATGCTGATCAACAAGCCACGAAAAATCAATGAGTTAGTTCAACATTTGGCAATCTTCAGAATGAAGAGTTGAGGGAAAGTGGAGAGTGAAGGGGTGAGGGGGAGAATGAGGATGTTTTTTTAGTTGGGATAGTCGAGGAGATGGTGGAATCGAATTAGGCAGTCGTGCTCTCCATTTGTGAGCCCATTGGTAATCTATTCTACTGGCGTCTCGTGAGTTTTCCAAGCACGTTCGCAGTGTGCTTCTTTCCTACTCCAGCCGGCTTTTAACAGCGTTATGTTGCATTTGGGGACATCACATTTCACTTTCACCATTTTTTTTTTTGCTCAATTTGGTATAGACAGATATTGGAATGCTTGTCTTGAACGATCATTATTCTAATTAGAGTTTTCATTCCACTGATTGTTCTCGGGTGATTAGATATATTTTGGCCATTCGTAATTATCTAATTTGTGATATCTTGAGACTGAGGGAGACTGAGAGAATATGACGTCCAAGTTAAACACAATTGGAAGTGAAGTAACTCTTGTTGGATGGGACAATATGACAGATGCCTGATTTTGTATTCCTGTGTGAGCCTCGCAATTCATTCCCATAGAAACTTTGAATCCATGCGGAGTAATTATATATTCAATTTCCGGAAATGTGTACTCAAGGATATCCAAGTACTTTGTACTCTGCAATATGGATCCTGCGTATGAATTTATTTCTCTATTTTTTTAAATTCTTTATAAATTATAGTTGAAAGTGGTCGTGATATTTTCATTGGTAATTTACTGAGGGATGCAGGTGCACTTCTCATTATTAATTTTCACGCAATAGTTTGGAGCAAACTCGGGTGAATGGAGTATGTGAGAATAGAGTTGTTTGGAGAGGATGGTAGCGGCTGAACTAAGGGGCGGTTGCTTTTCTCACGGGAGCTTGGCAAGCACCGTCAGAGTTCCGGACGAGTCCTTTTGGGATGTCCCATCCGGAGTCATCGGAAACTAGAGTCGAGTTTGCGTCGTTAATTCGATTGATTTTACTCCACCTAGTCTTTTCACTCTCATCGAAAAGTTAATTGACCAATTTCAAATGGCTTTGAGTTCAATCATTCATTGTTTTCTCTGATGGATCAACTACTGTTCCAAGAAATTGTCTTTCACTTATACTCTGTACTGACTAGTGAGTAATTGAAGAGCATTCTCCTGAAATATCTCCTTTACCTTCAGAATCAGATGTGTCGGAGAGTGGTGGTTCATTGGCAACGTGTTGTCGCCCGCTGTGTAAGTTGTGCTCAATGACGGGTCGTTTGTCTTCTAGCTGTCTCCGAAAGCCTCGGTAATCATCCTGAAAAATACGTATGCCATTCCATCAGCAAATGATAAACTTATATAACAGAAATATCTCACTCGGCAGTTGAATTGAGGATAAATATTTCTGCTCGTGTCCTTTTAAAAAAAAAAATCATGTAAAATTTTCAGTCAACTTTTTTAAAAAACTTCGAGCATTCAGCAAAATTCGAGGATTCACGGACTAATTAATTTTATTGCTATTGACAAAAGATAATTGTCATGGCACATGAGCGTCTTTTATATCTGTCTACATGTGAGTACCTCTCGGTACTCTTTAAACGTCGCCTAGTTTTTCAAGGGGATCCTCACACCTCCCCCCTTGGTTGAGGCCGCCACGTCAATGATGAGATACTACTGGAAGAGACCTGGAAGAGGTCGTGCCAGAGTTATTTTTTTCCTCAAACCCCCAAGTATCACACAAGAGATGATTGATTTAGCGAAAGCTTAAAGGTCAACAGCTCACTCGAGTGATCGAACACATTTTTCAAAAGAATAGGGCGCCGATGCCCTTCAGCACATCCAGCCTGGTTTTCCCTCGTCTCTCTTTTTTTTTGCACGCTCTACTATTAAATTGCAATTGCTTTTTCAATAGCATTAATAGCATTGAAAGATTTTTTATTAGTCTCATGTGCGGTGAGATATACTTATGGTCCTCGTTGTCACCTCATAACCCGCCTAACTAGATAACTTGCCTGTTGTTTTTGCAATGTGGCAATATCACCGCAGACAGGGCCCAGTCCCGTGAGCTCAGTATCCTTCCTTATGACCCATTCTATGAGCTCACGCAGAGACAGCAATAGGGCATTCCAGTGCTCCGCGTTACTCTCCAGTCGATTCCTGCGGGAACGAGTCAAAAAAAAAAAATAGAGAATCAATGACTCGATATTGAAAATTTCATGGTATCGATATCACCTTTATTACCACGCAGATCATGGTATAACTCTATTTATCGTGTGGTTAATGCTCAATCGGGTTATTTACTGTTTATGTTAAATTTACCACTGGTAATGACGTCAACAGCCCGGGCTGATAATTAATGAGACAAATATTAACGGGGGAAGCGCAAGTTTGGAAGTTATATTTGTACTTTCAAATGTTACGAAGTGTCGTCGGTACATAGAGAGAAATGGCCAGAAATAATTTTAGGAGTAGTTGAACATTTTTGGTTTTGCGTTATTTGTCAACGAGTTCAAGGAATTTTATGGATTCCTCATTAACAAATATGAAAACACATTAACTGCATGAAAATTAGGGCTTCAATACTCCAACTATTAATATAATGCCCAAATCCTTAGAAATATAGAATTGAAATGTCACAATTTTTTGGCTTGCCTCAACTTTAATTACACTTTAATCTTATTAGTGAAGTAGAATTTTCGGAAAAGTTGGTCCGTAAAGTTGAGTTGGAGTTTCTTCCACATTGCACTCAATGGTCCAATGGATAAAGGTATATATGTATGTATTGAGAAAGTGACAGGAAAATACATAAATGGGGATTTTGGAGGAGGCTGAGGCTATAAGGTTGAGGATTTAGATTAATATTGCACCATTGTCGAGGCTGTTGCAGTTGAGTGATATAGATGGTGGTCGGGTAAAAGTGGCTGGATTTCTCCTATCGCAGAGTAGCAGCCTCGACCTCAGGATATATTGCAGTTATTGTAACATCGATGAAAGTCTTGTGGAATCTAGCAACTTGTATTTCTGTATCTGGTTGTACACCTGGGATGATACATAGCCAGCCGTGGGTTTCGAAATGAAGAAAACTATAAGAATGGCTGTTGCCCAGAGGCACTTGTGTTTCGGCAAAAAAGTATTTGATAATGATTGTAGAAGCATGGATTCGCCATAACTCACTTTATTCGATAATCAATCGACCGATAGATATGATCAATAACGCCAATGATGTTAGAAATTTAATGATAATTGAGATGGATGGCTAGTCTATCGGATGGAACTCCTCAGCGGCTTATAAATACCGGAGGACCATCGGGGTGAACATCTGGCGCAAAGACAGTCGTAATTCTTGGACATATATACATTAGAATATACGCATGAGCCCTAGGAATTGCAACGGGAGAATTCTCTGGGGTTGGCTACCGGATTGCGGTACACACGCTTGCGCCAAGATTTCCCTTTAACACAAACTACCACTGCCGGATCTTCCGGATCTTCCGGATTATGTCTAAGCTACGCCTTATCATACTTAAAGCCGGTATTACTCTATGTACAGGTGCATTATACATATCGGATAGGCGTTTGGGTTAACAAGATACGGCTGTCAATAAATTGTGCGATCATCGGGCACATGGCACAATTAGGAGCATGATTTTTTTCCACGGATTTAAAAAATAATTTTTTTTCTCAAATAAATGTTACGGTTTTTGGGAATTACACGCCGGGAGTGGAAAAACCTTGTATAGAATTGAAATTTCGATTTTTAATACCTCACCGCAACTGAAATATCCTTCATTTGAATGGACCTTTGATTCGCCTCGTTGTTGAAATTAAAAATTTGTTCTCAATTCCTGTCCATTCGAAATCAATGATCTCTCAATTTGTCCGGGCATTTGACCGTATGGAATTTATGTAACACAGTTTATCAATTGAAAAAAAGGTTTTAAAAATACGTGGAAAAATAGAAAAATGCAGGGTGGCATTTGCGTGGATTCAGGTTTGGCTCGTTTCAGAATGCAAATGAAGTATCGTTCAAAGGCAGCGAGGAATGCCATGCACGGAATTCCAAAGCGTTCATAGTTAATCGGCAGCGTGTACTTTGGGATTCCAAATACCACGCGGTCGAAGTTCAAATAGTTCATTCTGCCGTGGATTAAATGCTCGCATGTGGCAAAAAAAAATCTCTCGAAATTTTCAAGGCTCGAGAAATGGCGCAGAGGTATTTTCTATTGAATGCACGATATACATACCTAATTGCCATGCTTTTCGCCTTCAAATGATGCCACCTCTGATTCATTTCATCCAGTCTCCGTTGCAACATAACAGCGTCATCCTGACTGGCTAATGAACCCAGGAGTTTACGTCCTGTTCCATTTAGCGATGCGTAAACATCTCTGTGTGTCTCGATTTCAGACTGCAGGTCCTACAACAAGAATTACAACATCACATCACCATTCTGCATAATCATATTTCACATTTGTGAATAGTAAATTCTCATTCGCATCTGAACAACTGGAGCCCACAAATGGACGCCACCACAACATTTCTCCAATGTCGTTATTCATATTTACTGAGAGTATGATGTACGTTGGAGGGACTGGTGTGACAGATTGATCAGTGCGATTTTATGCAACATCTATTTCTGGGAGTAAAATCAAAGCATTCGAAAGTTTTCCGATGCGGCAGGGTTGTCAGACAGAATCGATACCTCTACTGATGCGACAGCGTCAATTCTGCTTTTTTTATTTCTTTTTTTTGTTCATGTTTCTCACTCTGCGGCTTGGTGATAAAACTGCAAAGAGCGGGCAAGGGGAAAGGAATGGTGGATAACCCAATGAATTATTCACCCAAATCTAAACCTCCTGCTGCATAACCATCGTAACATACATGTCTCCTGGTCTCCTATATCCCCGAGTTATTGGATTTTTCGTAAAAACCACCAACTCTTATTTTACCTGTTCGAAGTAGAAGAGATCAGCGAGCAGCGTGTAGGATATGTAGACGTAGCGGGCATCTTCAAAATCCGCTGGTCGATACAGTCGGAGGGTGGCACGACCTCGGGGCCAAGTGCCCCCCCTCGTCTCACCACCACGATAATCCACCTTAATTATCTCATCGGATGCTTCATCATTATCCCTTCATCCCTCTCTGACTCCACTAAACCCATCGTACACCCCTACACTCCTACTATCTCTTTCGTTTGCGCATCTTTATTCACCACCGAATTGTCTGATTATTCGTCACAATATTCAACAGTGACATGACACACCTGGCTGAATCATTCACTTAGGCACACTTCTGGTCATGATTGACCGGAGTAATTAGCAAATGATCGATGAAGCTTTCATTTTGAAATGACCAGTCAGTTTGATTCAACTAATTTCCATATAGCTGCGAGAGATTCAGCGAGATGAACCAAATGGAGAATCGGCTGACTCAGGGCAACTTCGTTTGCACTACTTTGATCGGTACTTGGGTCAATGGATTTAAGGCTAGAGACAAAAGTCATGAGCTGGCTATAGTAATAGGAGAGAGTGGAATTAATATAATTACCGAATGGGTAATATTTTTTTCAGTGCATGGAAGATTAAACTCAATGGTAAGGATAATCGGTTGATTCAGGGAAAACTTGTTGGTACTACTTTGGTCGGTATATATTGGATCTTTGGTTCTGAGTTGGAGGCAAACGTCTTAAGTTTAAAACTAGTTGATAGGGTGAGGCAGGATGAAGCAGAAGTAATTTTTCATTTACGAACCAAATGATACGATTTAAATGGAGCAGATCTAACTTCTTGTTTGACAAAATATTTAGCCTGTCTTTATCTCACCAGGACCGAGCAAACAAGGGGGATGATAGGGCCATGGTTAATGCCCGATTTGCTTGATCAACGTTGCGTGATCGTAATGAGGCAAATGGAATGGCCGGTGGTGTTACCAACGAGAACGGAATGATCAACTAAATGATCTATTGCTCGCTGAGAGTATGAATGACTCATGGCGGGTGATTCATCATTATCATCGATTATTACCAGAGCTTGTTGAAATGAATGGACGCCAGTGGAGTAAATATTGACGCACAATGTGTCCCCGAGAAAGGAAATGAGATATGGCCCTGTAATTATTACAAGGCGCTAAATCCACCTCCAATCCACGAGGAAAAAATCGAACGAATATTTTCCATTTACATTAATCCTGGAGTTCTATAGTGCCACCTGCCACCGTCTCAACCTCTAAAAAGGAACTGTCAAAAACCGCCTCTAATGAATCCCCGAAAACAGAAGGTCATTATTTTAATCCCTTTGTTCTCCCGCCAAAATCCAGGGAAAATGTTGAAAACTCCTCAGGAAGTTGGGGAAGTTTCTCGAGGATTGGCTTTGAGGAGAGGTATAAAAAACGTCAGAGGGTGAAAATTACGGGAGTTTGGGGTAGTCCAAGTAGAAAGGCTACTTGGATTACTGGAAGAAGGTCCAGGCCTCCTCGGTACGTCGAGGAGGAATTTGCAGAATGCAGTTGAGGCAATAAAGCTGAGTGGAAGGTTTGAAGTTTGGTTGGCTTCAGGGAATACACGTGAGCGAGCACGTTATCGAATGTGTCGACTTTTGACACAGCAGTTTGGCGGGGGCTGTGGGTGGCATTCATCGGATCTGAGGTGAGTAAAAGCCCAGGGTGGTGAGGCAGTCAAGCGTCACCAAGTCGAAGACATGAATATTTATTACTAGTCGGTACGTACTTCTCAGTGGCACGCCTGGTTATACACAGTGTAACCGAAGCCCACAGTGTTCTACATCCCCTTGGTTTTCAACCTCTCCACCATCCATCTCTCCTCTCACCCCTCGCCCACACCAAAGTGCCACTGAGGTACAGTATAACATTAAGCTACACGTGCCGAGCTGTGTTGGTGGGAGCTGAGTGAAAATCCACGGTTATATCTGAACCCTGGTGTATGAATTCATACTCCTCATTACCACCGTAACTAAGCACTGTTCGCATGATGGCTTGCACCCACACCCGCACCCACACCCGCACCCGAACCCGCACCCGAACCCGCACCCGAACCTGCAGCGCACTCACAACCTCAGAAAGGGATTTTTTTTTTTTCGTCGAGTCCCTCATACGCACCTAACAGAGGCCCTTACGACATTGTCGCCCTTTTTAACCGCTTGTTCTTGGACTTTTTTCCCCCTCTTTTTTTTATTTTTTAATAGGAGAAGAGGGTGAAGCCGGGAAAAGTGAACAGTAGTGACGCTTTGGGGATACTTGATTGTTTGGCATTGTCGCGAGCCTTCGTTGTGGGAAAATTCAACGCCGTTAGTGAGAATATTGTGTATTCAGTTTTGTGGATTTGTTTGGATAAATTAGACGGTTTTTTAGTTCCTCTTGCAGGCAAATCCGCCATTACTTTCCCTCGGGCATTGTTTTGCGCAGACTTTTGTTTGATGATTGTTAATAGTCTGGGCTGGTGTAGATGGTTGATATTTATAGGCTTTTTTATTCTGCGTTGTTTGGGGGGCTTGTGCACCTACATGAAAAGGGCATTTGCCGAGTTTAGGACAGTATGAAAGCTCACCCGCGGTGTGAGGTAAGTGAAATTTGTGGAGGAAAATTGTGAGTATCTAGGTTTTAGAAGGTAAAAAGTGTAAGCAGAGTATCAAAATTCAACTGTTATTTTAAAAAATGGCAATTGATTCCACACGCCACCATGTTCTCAATAAAAAAGACAGCTCTTTCTTTTCCGCAATTTCCAGTGCTCCAAACATTCATTCAAGTCATGAGGATAATTGTACCCCATGAATAACCCCAACGAACAAGAACCTCCAGGAAATAAAACAGCCTGCTAAGCCTGGCACGCAGCCAAATAGATTTGCCCAAGGCATCGGAGTGAAACTATCCCATTTACCCACCACCCACCACCCTCCAATTATATTTAATAAACACATTAATTAGCATACCAAGATACTGCGGATAGCCGAAGGTTTTCGTCATAATAATAAATAAAATATAAATATGGGGATAAAAAATTGATGAAATTAATAAAATGAACTGTCCATTCCCGTTGATTGCTGAAGTCCAGTATTATTCATCTGGCGTTGATCCCATGATTTGTGTACAGTCATCTCACGTGGCTCATTAAGCTCATTAACGTTACTGTCAGTTGTCTCGGGGCTCCTGGAAAGCGTTGGTAGCACTGAGTGAAATGGACACGGCGATCGAGAGAAACTGGATCCTCCAGTAGTCTATTAACAAGCCGTGGAATAGCGAGGGCGTTGAATCAGTCCCGAGGGGGTGTTGGGGTATTTTGGGGTGGTGCTGCCATTCCCAATGGTTGAACCGCAAATGATTACACTGGCGGTGCCTTGGCAAACCAAATGGGCCGTTGATGGCGGCCAATCGACAGGTGATATCCCCGCTATTGGACTTTGTGGAAAATTTCATGAAAAATATAAGAGTAAATGAAATAAATTGAGAGCCTCTTCGTGTGTGCGCCATGAGATATTTTTTTTTTCAAGTTTTCAAGTCCAAGTTGTTCTGGAGATCATTGGAGTGCACGTATCAATTGAATCAGAGGGGTATTGGAGGGCTGTGTTCTTGTCTCGGTGTTGGCCGTGTGTCGAGGGAATTCTCGAATTCTCGAACGAGATTTGAGGCGTCCCACGTGGTCCTTCGGACGTGTTACAAGGGCGATATTGGATGGTCGCCAGGACACGCGACGCCACCGGACGCCACCGGGACGCCCAGAACGTCCTCGCAATTTTTCCAAGATCGTTGGAAACTGATCGAATTAATTCCACCGCTATTGTTTTAATTTAGGGGATTCATTGAGCCGTGGGGGAGTGGAATTTTCCGCCTACCATCAAGAAAAGGATTAAATCAACGAATATTGATTCATCTCTGCAGCATAAAAATAAAAAGTACCATATTTACCATGGAAATTTCAATGAGGAAAATATTCATTTAAATTTCTCATGATTGATAAATATTTGAATGCAAGAACAGAAACCTGAAGTTTACGAAGACTCAAGCATGATTAATTTCATTTGCAATCAAGTAAAATAATTGATCAGATTGATATTTCATTAGACGGAGTGAGTGTTCCCGTAAAATAAATGTTAAATTGATTTGATGAGCTAAAAGAAAATCCTGGTGTTCGAAATAGCGGAAATCATTAGACCCTCGATGACAATGGGAAGACGGAAATTGGACGGTACTAAGCATCCGGGTTCCGATCGATGACAGCAGACGGGAGGGGTGACAATTTTGGATGTGCGCTAGGGTACAATTGAGCGTCTTCAATTGATTCCCATTGTAATATCCATTGATTTCAACTAATTGATTCAGGAGATGAACTCTGTCTAGACAAACATAATCAGGCTGAGCGTATGTATGTATTTTTGAATATGAATATGACGTGCACACGTGAGTGGGACTAGGAATTTGCCCACGAGGCACATGGCCTGCATGAGATAACGAGAAGAGTCGAGTGTGTACTTGTGTCGTGTTTGCGCTGATGTCAGCTGAAGTATATAAATGAAATTCTGATAATGCCGGGGTAATTTTCTCCCGTTTCTGCGCAGCACTCTGTTGGCCAAGTGGACCCGACTAATATCGAAATACGACCTATTGGGTTGGCTTGATTTTTTTTTTTCGGAGCGATATGTTGGACGCTGTTAAGCCGATTTCCCATCGGTTCTCTGTACTCAAGTATTCTGCCTCTAATCGGATTTATTTCCCAGTTTTTCTTCAGGAAAAATGTCACTGCAGGCATTTCGTAATGACGCCATGTCCTTGGTGAGTTGTCATAATACAAGGATTAATTTAATGTTGCTGTATTTCATCTCTGTGTATTCGCCCGACTGCTTTTTCCTTTTTGTAATGAAATTCTATATTATTTTAAATTTCAAATTCAATCTTTACGCATAACAATCCGTCTGGTCTTTGTGAACGATGACCGGTGAAAATCCCTTTGTGGATGTGCCAGCGCTTCTTTCTTTCCGTTTGATTGATAAAGATAACGTTTCCAACTTGGAAAGGAAAACTCAATGTCTCCTCCATGTAACGATACCTTTTCAGGGATTCCTCATATGAAAAAAAAAAATAGTGAAACTCGGATAACGATATCGCTTTCCAAAATACTCGTAATGGCCAGAAATTCATTTATGAGATTCTCCTTGTGTCGATGGTTTAATATCCAGGATTTTCTGTGGTCATAGAGGATTCATGTTGTCGGCGTTCCCCATGTTCCACGAGATTTAAATAATTTCCATCGTTTCACTCGTCCTGTCTGGTCCGATTAACAATAATTATGCGCTAATTTAATCTTCCAGCAATGTTCCAGGATTTTTAATACTCCAGCCAATTTTAATACCCAGATAAATTGGAATACCCCATAAGAACATAAAAGTTAATTGGAGCTTTTTGCAATTGCAATTTTTTTTTTACGTTATTATTATATTACCGGAATATTGGGAATTGATAATCGATAGGTGGGCAATAAACTGGGTACGTTTAATTACCGAAT